TCAAGGAGTCTAGACTCAAAGAGCCTCAAGGCACCACATTTACCTCGCAAAACTGCCGTCTCCAGAGCGACCATTCGGAGCCAATGCCGGACCTCAGCCCGTGTGCTTGTGTCGTCCGCGGGTACAGTGTAGGTGCATGTCGTAGCACTGATCTCGTCGCGACAGCATGGATATTGTGGGAATGTAACCCAGACTCGGACCTTGACAAAAACTCCCACCGTCACGGAAGGATCGGTCTCATTGTCCTCGAATTCAAGCCACTGCGGAGGATAGAGCTCTTCACTCCAGTTGCCAAAGCCGAAGACCCTATCGGCGGCGTCGGACAGGTCCCGGTGGTCTCTCTGCAACGACGCTTGCCGCTTGACACAATCCACGACCTGCTCGGGTTTCATGTCTGACCTCAGCAAGGGCATTCTCTCGTGAGATGTTGTCGCGGTTTCCATGGACTTTTCTTTCTCGTGGAACAATAGGTTTGGGAATATATGCTTGATAGCGGTTTCTATGAGGGTTTGCATGGGAGATGAAGCGTCGGGAAAGTTGATGATCAATCGCCGTTTGTAGGTATGGTTTCTTTTGGTTATAGTTGGAAGGAGAAGACTTGGGTATCTGTTCGTTCTCCATTGAAGGCAGCCTTTTTATATCAAGCTAGAACCACAAGCCAGTGACTGCGCTGAAATGTTATCGTATCAGCTGATAGGAAGGTCCATCCTTGGGCACTTCAGTATGAATCATTTGCATATCTCGAGGTTTCAGGCACGCCGCATACCAGCGTGTTTTGAGTACAGTACCACCGTGGCTCTGTAGCCTTCCAAGTTAGGAAGATCCAAAGAAACGGGATTGACGTGGCATATATGACGGACAGGCTATTTCAACCGCGCGTCGAATTGAAAACCTCATGGTGGCCTTCGAACATGCTGTTAGTTGCTGGAAGGCTCGGTCATATAACAGCACACAACAATGCAGATCAAGCAGACGAGTCTCGCAGCGCTACCTATGAGCACTATGCGGTTCAGACAGATACACATTGTTGCCATGGTGATGTCATCATGAAAGGCGTAGATGTGCTCCATTACAGGTCGTTAACTTAAGCCAAAAGGTACAGCACAGACCGCGTCAGACAGGCAAACTTTGTGCATGAGATTATGAGATCGATGGAATGGTTACCGCGCCACGCCCTACGGCGATGACCGAATCAACACTTCTCCATCCCAGATACTTGCGGTGGGCCTGATGGCCTTCGGAAATCTCTGCGCAGGCATGATGCCATGACAGGTTATGTGACTCAATCAAGCTCAGAATCGAGTGCTAGGGCTAAAGTGACGCGGACTTTTATACATCGGAGCCAGCTAAGTTTTCAAGCGCGGAAAATGCATTACCTTGTGGCCTGGAACAACTGGGGATGACGGCCTCGGGAGAGCACATCCGATTGATATCATCCTTTGAATACTGCTAGTTCTTTCTTCCCTTTCTTTTCTTTTGATGCCGGATAATAGCACATCCGTTCTTTGGCCCAATGCGTCGGCTGTCAACGTATCAATTCAATCACGCATCCCTTGGCTATAATCAGCATCCTCTAATGCAGCGGAAGGCGCTTGCTCTTCTTGCCAAACGATTCGGTCTATCTGAAGGTGGTTCGTTGATGATAGGAATAGTGAGCTACGATGCTTGTGAGAGGCTTTAGGTTGACTGTCCTCCTTCCACTAGAATATTCTAGTTGACAGTCTTGTTCCATGGTATCTCTCTATATATCTTTCTGCCTAAATCCTTGCACGGGATCCTCGTCAACTATCATTCTTCCCTCATGCTGAAGAGTCATATCCCTGAGGCCCATACAATGTTCGTTGGGTGCCTTCCAAGCCAGGCAACAAGGCAATGACAGCCTCAGGCACTTAGATACGACCCGTGACCCCAACCCAACAATCAAGGTTGACATAAAGTTAATTACATCAACAAAAGTTAAGGTTCCGGAATCATAATCACTTTATCTCTCTGGATGCCATCGCGTGGACCTTCCGACCCCCCTCGCCGGCCAGATGGAGGGAATCCCCGCTCTTTTATCAGTCATGAGGCACGATAAGCGATAAGTCTTGCCAAGAACCTCCAACTGCTCCAACTTATCACGGTAAAGCCACCAATCGCTATTGAGGAGCCAAGCAGGGAGCTAGACTGCTAGACTGCTAGACTCTTCTTCTGCGCGTGGACCTTCCCATGCTCAAGACTCACCCCATGGGGAAGGCGACCCACTGTCGCTATCTCGCCGGCGAGAGGTTCCCACGATAAGCCTAATCTCTTGTCGGGTCTATCGACGACACGGTAAGAGGCGAATATGCTATCTCGTATAGCCGAGATGTCCTACCAACACGGCCTTAAATTGCCCTCCATGCCTCGGGTTTCTGCCTCCCTTCCTTCAAGTTCTCCTTTCCTTCGAGCGATACTATACATGCGGTAGGAGTCGTACATTTACCCGATCACAATGACCGACTCAAAAGCCGTTATTCCAGATACCCATGAGGATCCTCCTTCCACTGCCGTGGTAGGGACCAGCGAGCCCCTTCTCCCATGGTGGAAGCGAGTCTGGTGTCACAGCTTGACGCAGATGATTTTACTGAGCGTGCAAGCGTTCTGTGGACCTGCTATGTCGGACGCAATCACTGGTTAGGGCTCCTCAATGACATCCTGATGTGTCATAGAATGCGTAGCTAATCCCTCTCAGGCCTGGGTGGTGGTGGTCTTGCAAGTCCCCAGGTGTCTAACATCTCCAATGCAATCAGATATGCCATGCTTGCAGTCGGTATGTTTCTCCTCTTAAGATACACCTTCTCTCCAGCAAGGAATGTCGAGTACGCTAACGAGAGGATCCGCAACCTCGCAGTCTGCTTCCTGGGCGGACCCATTGTCAACAAAATCGGCGTCAAATGGGCCCTTGTCATCGGTTCCTTGTCCTTCCCCATTCAGGGCTCAGCATACTACTGCAATAGCAAGTTCGGAAACCAATGGTATCTCATCCTAAGCGGTGCTATCGGCGGCATCGGCACTGCTTGCTGGTATGTCGCTGAGGCTGGCGCCATCATGACCTTGGCGCCGTCTGGTGCCCGAGGAAAGTATCTAGCGTTGTGGATTGTGTCGCGTAACTTGGGACAGTTGGTCGGAGGGGCGATCAAGTGAGTTCTTACCCACATTCTCAATGTAATGGTGATTGAGTTCTGACTGAAGGTTATCTGCACAGCTTGGCGAAGAATAGTAAGGATGGAGCGGAGGGTGGAGTGACCCCTGACACTTTCATTGCGTTTGTGATCATTGAGTGCATTGCGTGAGTTCTCGGCCACTCTAATCTACTTGCAAGGATAAAGCTAACACACGCTCGAAGCCTACCATTTGCTCTATTGATCATTCCCTTCGAACATGTTGTCCGCTCCGATGGCACTAGAATTGTGACAGCAGAGACGCTCTCCAGTCGAATGGAACTTCGACGCATCGCTAAGACTATTACCTCCAAGCTCATCATTCTTTCCGCCCTCTGGGCTTTGTGGTCGTTCTTCTACTCGTAAGTAACACTCTTGACCACTCCAATTGAGCCAACCGACCAGAGCCTAACCGTGATAATAGAGGATCTTGGAGCACCTATCTGGCCGATTACTTCTCCGTTCGCGCCCGCTCCCTCTCCTCCCTGATTTCGCCTTTCTTCTGCATGTACGTCTTCCACCCCCCC